GAGAGTGGGGTCCCAGTAACAAGGCTGGGGACCAGCTGTGTGGGAATGGGGCACTGACAGCAATCTCCACCAGAAGGAAATGATTAAAGAAAGGATCTTGACCTGCACTGTACAAATTTATGCCAGTAAATCCCAGATGGCTAAGCTAATAAAATTGAGGTCTAATTAAACCACATCCCTTGCATCTTGTCTTTGCTTCCATATGAGCAGGACTTGGATACAATACCGAGACTACTCCTAAAGAGTCACGACTATTGTATCAACTGGATCAGTGGCTCACAAACTTTCCCTATCCACATTCAGAACAAGAAAAACAAGCAAGTTAAAGACATATCACTACCAAACTTCTCAGGATCACTTGCCCTCTGTCTGGCAAAATAAACAAGTCTTCTCAGCTAATCGTTCTCAACCACAGATGGACAAGATAACACAGACTCCCAAGCAGAGAAGTAAAGAATAAAACATTAATGTGCAGTACTCATTTTACAATGCTTAAAAATTAACAAGATTATATATTATACCCTTTACCTCTTATTTCTTATAGGAAGTCAAACATGCAAATACCCAATACTCGTTTCACAAATGCATTCTGGGATGGCTTTAAAAATGTTTTTGGAAAGTACCATGAGCTATTAAGTTATTTGAAGCTACCTGCTTACCAAATGATTTGATTTAGAATTAATGTTTTACCTTGAGCACTGTGTCTAACAGACATCAAACCAAACGGTTATGGTTTTAGACATCTTTAAATTACAAACAGTAAAGATAAACACAAATAACGTTTGTACTTTATGTGTTAAGTCTAATAGTCCACAGGCCGAGTTTCTCCCTTAAGGCAGAATTAAATATCCCTGAAAGAATCCCCAAATTATCTCTAATTAAAGATGGAAAAAATCATTGAAGTCATGTTCCAATGATCATTTCAAGGAGTACAGTGCATATGAACTCAGCTCCATTACGTAGCTCATGTGGTGTTAGACAGAAACTACAGTGAAAGGCAGCTTTAAAATACTACTGGATTTCTTGTGGGTAGAGGACTCAACAAGTATCTCCCTTCCTTACTGCTGATGGATCAAGGATTTACTGTGGTTGCTTTGCTACTTGGAAACGACAGTTATTTCAGTCACAAGAACCCTCTCAACCATGGAGCAGAATAAAGAATGTTTTCCTCAAGATTGATAGTAACCTAATTTTGTTAACAGCAGGTTGATATCAAGCGGTGCTACAACAAAAACACAGGTGGGAGCACAGTTATGATGCCCTTTTGGCACCACAGAATTCCTGAAGAATGTCAACAGTCTGTCTTTGGGTAGTTACGTAACTAGATGACAGCCAAATATATTCTTACAAAATACAAGGAAAAGCTGCCAATTGTACCAAAATTCAAAGTCATAAGATACAATGATGAACTAAGATGACCTTACTGGTCACCCAAACTTCCAGTATTTCCTTCGCTATTCCAGCATTGACAGTTTCTTCTCTGCTGATGCAAAGAAGATTAAAAATTACATAGAGCCTATAAATCTATTTTTTGCAATAAAACAGCTAGTGCAGACTGTTCTAGACGGCAGGTTCAAGACTTTCAAGAAAGCAAGCTAATGAAAGTCTCATAAATAGAATATGTATGTACCTACGGTTACAGTTAAACCTGGAGAGAAGATCCTCAAAGTTCTGGCTCTGGTTCATTCAGCGTAAAAAAATACATACCTTGGAAAACATGGGGATTAACAGTCTTCCACCAAGTATTCTAGTGGAAAAATTATAGAACACACACTATTCTACATATGTACTAGTGGACATTTTTCAATTTATTTCTTGTTTCTTCAGTCAAACACAGTAACTCCTGAATACTAATATATCTTTTATCAGCTTTCAAAGGGACTATAAAGGAAATAATTCCAGAACTTCAAACATGAACTCACAGACCGTAACTCTGGTCAAGAATCATGGATTGTATACAAGTACTTTCATAAATGTAAATAAGGATCTGCACTACTTTTAAAGGAATTTGTAGATAAATTTGAAGTGTATCTTTAAAACTTTTTTAAAAATTTACAGAAATATGGTAGTTGACAATGAATTTAGATGTTATCTTCAGTTTCTGACTGCTACACTTAAAGAACAATGTTTATCTACAGAAAATGAAGCACAGTTTTTCGAAACAGATTACTTTCAAATAATGAAAAAATCTTTTAAATATTTTCTGAATCCACCGTAGGCGCAGACTGAGAAATTATTTATGATAACAACTTCTTTAACCTATTTAAACTATATAAAGGAAATTCTGAATAGGGGAGACTTATGACTTTGTGAATAATTTAATAGCAAACATTATGATGTATTATTTATGTAGCACCACTGATGCACAAAAGAATGCTCACACATAATAACGGGGTCCCTCCCTTGAAAGGCAGTTAAAGAACTGACCACACACTTCTCATCCATGTAGAACTTTGATAAGGAAGGTGGATCATGCAGCATCAGACCCTTAATGCATCTGAAGGTAACAGTCTGAAACTGAAACACTCAAAAAGGGGAAAATACATGCAAAGTTATATAGTTTTGCATGTATTTTTTCAAAAGTGAAGGAAGAGGAGAAAGAAAAGAGGTTAAACTTAAAGAGGCTTTATTGTGAACCCATTCTGCAAGCATGTCTGTCTGACTTTGCTTCACTGCACACCTATTCCTTCAAAAACTTGCTAATCTGCCTTTACAGGCCAAATATTTCTCTACTATTTGTAGTCTTCAAATTATTAATGAGTACATTAAACTGCCTGCTACAAACCTATATCTAAATTTTTGTAAGTATCAGTTTTGTAAGTAAGAACGAATAGATAATTAAAATTTGATGACTTGAACTTCAACTGAATCTGTAGGAGCTGGAAAGGAATTCTCTAAAATGGTAATTATGAGCTTCTTTGTTTATTTATGAAAAAAACCACCATAACTTATTATCATACCAATCTCCCTGCTTAGAATGTATTCATGGATAGGTGGCTGTTTGGTAAAACATTTTATGGGTTAGTTTCACCAAACAGAAGAAATGAATAAAGCACATATTCCTTGACAGAAGAATTAATTTCCACAGCTATATATAAACATTATGACATAGCTTTTCTCATGTTTCCACCATGGAGATTTCCATTTTTCACAATACCTTTGGCTTGCTGTTCTCTGCTCTTTCAGCCGTAGGATGGATTCTTCAATTTCCTTTTCTTTCCTTCTTAGTTGACTCACAAGTATTTCTGGCATGTTCTAGTTCCTCAATGTGTTTCCTTTGGGACTCAACCACAGTCTCCCTGCAAGTACAAGCATCTGACATTCCAAAACCAAGTAAAAAATTAAATGAATACTCAAGAGAGAAAAAATTGTAGGTGTTCAGCAAAATTTGTTGTCCTTAATGACATGCACTGCAGCAGAGGTTTAAGAGTTTATGAAAACACAACACAGACTCTACACTATATTAGAAGTATCCTCCTTCTAATCCATCAGAACCAAGTGTTTTCTGAAAAGCAAAATACTATTAGTAGCTATCAAAGATTATGAGATCTTCAGTGGATAGAGCACTCAAAGTAATTTTTAGTTTTTATTCTGACAGTTAACTTGACACACTAAAAATCAGATTACGTCTTTAATAGTGGGATTTATCCAAAAAATGCCATTAAAAATAATTTATAAGTGTATTTCTGTACGATGATTTCCTATGATCCAAATAAATCTTGTGTTCACAGAACTTCAAGCACAAAATACATAATTGCACATAATTGCCATATATTTATATACTTAGCTTGGGGTCTGCACATGACATTGTGGATCTGGATCTGTTCTTATGCCAAGAAAAGTCCTCACAGTGTGCCATATCAACATTAGATCTTTATTCCTTGAATCAAGTTGCCCTCTTCTCTTTGCTAGCACTAGGCCTGAATCAATTTCTTATAGTTCTACCATATTTTTGCATTGTTAAAACAAAAAACAAACAAATTCATTTTGGGAGTAAAACCGCCTAATTAATGATATGAAGTGTAAAAATGTAGGTGTATTAAAAGTGTCAAAACTTGTACTACATATAAATTAAAGAAGCAAATTGGAAGAGATAACCACTTTTTACTGTCTGTCTAAAAACATGAGACTTGTTTTTGTTTTCATATGCCTAAATAATCAATGTAATGAAAATAAAGACCAACATGAGGGTGAGATAGATGAAAAAAACACAATGTAACTGGCCATCAGCCTGATCCATGACTTGTGGAAGTTAAGGAGACAATTCTGCTGACTCAGGTTTGAATCACAGCCACAACTCTTTTGTAGTTTTGGTTTTTTAACATATTATCAGTTCAGTGTATAAGTTAGCTGATTTACAAGTACTTCTAGAGGTTTTCCTATGAAAACAGGAAGATTTTAAAGTGACATTTCCAAATATAGCTACCATAAGTAGAGGACTGAGAGAGAGACTGCTTTAAGCAGTAAGCAGTAAAAAGCATCATTAGAGATGGCTGCAACATAAGATTTGCTGTTCAAAGTCCCCACGTGCGATACATTTTTCAGATCTGCAGTGCTGTGCACACATGCAGCAAGAGACCAGAACAAACCTTGAAATTAAAAAAGGAAAAACATGTGCAAACAAACTACAGATGTGAAACTTTGTTATAACATGACAACACTAAACTTTTTCATATACTACTTTTATAACCCTTTAACATGCAGAGAAGTTATACTAAGGAAGTCCCGTGATTTTAACTATTAGAAAACTTGGTTGATAAATCTGTACTTTTGTTTAACCCCTACTACTGTGGATTCTCACAATAAGGACTTCAAAGGCAAACAAGTTATCATGACTGTTATAAATAAATACAAGAAAAAGAAGGAAAGAACAATCTTTCTGTCTACAGGTACTATTATTGCCCACTGATGAACAGAAAAAGAGTATGGACTTGCTACAGTGCAGCAATTATTAGGGGTACCAACATAAACCCCTGCTTTTTAATAAATGTGAATTACACCTTTCCAGCCTGCCAGCAGCCTCACTCACTTTTTTGAGACCAGTGTTACCAAAAGATTGAACACAGCTGCGTGGACAAGGCCTATGGCTGGTCAGTTGAAAGCAGTTTGCTGCAGAGGCTCTCGTTTTGTGTCTCAAGCTCATGAATTCTTTCTGCAAATGCTCAATTCTTCCTTCCAGCTGCAGCCCTGACCCGGCCGCTTGAGGCCGCCACCAACCTGCTCTGACTCTTTTTTATCATTAACAAGCTGTGTTAACTCGGTGGTCATTCTGGGGAAAAATAATAAAAAAAGATGAAAAAGAATGTGAAAAGTCAGCATAAAAAGCATTCTGTTGAAAGGAACATAATCACTGTGAAGACTTCAGCATAGAACCTGAATAATAAATTTCAGGTTTTGATATAACTATTACTGCCTGTGAAGAACTCTTTGAAGATAATTGAAACCACTGTGCAGCAATCTGCTTTATAGCACTGACAAATAACAGTTTCCTAAGGCTTATCATTTAAAGTTAGTAAAGAGAGGACACATATTTACTCCATATGCTGCTTAAATGTAATTTTTAACACATGACCTTATATGGGAACCTCTGCATGCTGTTAAGTAAAGTTACAGATTTGGGATGTGGTGGGGCAAACTATAAAAGATAAAATTTCACAAAACATTCAACTATTCAAAGAATGCTAATAATATGCAACATTCCAATGGTACATAATTTCTACTAATTTAGGATTTAAATATATATTTCATTTCTAAAGTGGCAAAATACAGAGGTGTATTTAAGCAGGTACTTAATATTTAAGCAAGTACTTCAGAAAAAGTAATTTAATAGTTCTCATTACCATACTCAATTTTATACTTGGTAAATATTACCAATGTGCTTCAGAGAAGGAACGGTTAGCTGAAGAATATAATTAGATACAGAGGGTATGGTTTTCATCTGTCCTTAAAAGAATACAAATTTTGCTCTTGGCATCTCAAGAGTTGTACCTTTGATTTCCCTTAGTTTTGATAAACATTGGTAAGCTGGAACAAAAGGCAGAGAGGGCACATGGGGGTGATGTAATATACACGAACAGAAAACATACCCAGCGGTGAATAGAAAAAACTTGGCATATAAAGAAAGAAAAGGTGGCTTTGATGAAAGAGACAAGTTCAAGACTTTACAAAATCGGTCGCACATCTTCAAGACCTGTATCTAGTTTACAGGGAATCTATTTTTGAAGGCCTAGAAAGAAAACTGAAAATAAGGACACACTTCATTTGTTTAAAGAAGGCTTGTTTTATTTTTTGTATACTTCTGGACAGAAGCTTCTACTTAAAAGAAGAAAAGTGAAACCAAAAAAATCCGTAATGCCTTTAGGATGTCATAGAATGTTACTTGCCTGTGAGCAGGTTTTTTGTTTATCTGTTGTTTGGTTTTTCTTCCAATGTTCTTCTACTGCAAATTCATTCCAAACTTCTAGTTACAAGTGTTTTGGTATGAGGGATGCTGGAAAAGAAATTTAGCTAGAGGAGTTAAAATCTTTGTCTGGCAATCTAGACAAACACTGCATTTTTTATTTTTTGTGCCATAAAGTATTAATTCAGGTATTCCAATGTGGGCATCACGTGTAATGTTACCTAAGTGGATGATGAGTGCATTTGGTAAGTCACCTAACAGAAACACAGGAAATGCCATTTGGAATAAGCAAACAATTCATTTGTTCCACCATCTTGTATTTGAAAACAGCCTGACAGAAAAGATGGAAGTTATGTCATGCTGGTCAATTTGTTCCTGATGCACTGAGGCAAAAGGAAGAACGTTTTGGACTTTAATAAAGTACAAAATGGTCCCATCTACAGAGGCAATATTTTCAGCTGCTCTTTTATGGATCTGTTCACTTCTGACCAGACCTTGCTTGGATGCAGCAAGGATTTATTAAGTAAGCACAATGTGAGCACAGAGTGCTGGTGCTTTTAGATTAATTAGCCCTCCTGCAATATTGTCATACTTTGAACAGTTCTGCTGAGCCCAGATGGGTTTGCCAGCACAGCACTAAGTTTAGTAATAAGCCTGAAGTTGCTTGGGTACCTTTGTGCACACTGGGTACTCTGCTCCCCATGCTACCTGGGATTTCTTCACTGAAGTTATCTGCTACACTGAATGAAAGAGAGCTGATTATAAAGGTATTTTAGAGCCAACTGGACAATCACAGAATCAACCAGGTTGGAAAAGACCTCCAAGATCACAAGTCCAACCTGTGACAGATCTCCACCATGTCAAGCAGACACCTCCAGGGACAGTAACTCCACTGCCTCCCTGGGCATCCCATTCCAACATCTCATCACCCTTTCTGTGAAGAAATTCCTCCTAATGTCCAACCTAAACGTCCCCTGGCACAGCCTGAGACTAAAGGCTAGATGCCAGTCTGCTTCCTGAAGGCCAGAGAAGCATAAAAAAAGGGGCAGGATCTCTCTGTATGGATTGTTTTGATTGTTGAATGAAATTCTGGACAAATCATTAGGCTTCTGTAGCCTCTTCTTCAGCTCCCTGAACACCCGTTGTACTCTGACAGCATAGCTCTGGACCCAAGGTACAACTCCAAAGTGATAGACAGTGCTGTACTTCTGTATATGGAGATCTAATACCCCCCCAAAAAATCCACCACAGCAAAAAAAAAAATCTTACACACACAGAGATGACCAGAAATCAATACAAAAATGAATTCCAGCGAGTGATTTTTGCTACTGCTTTAAAACGTGCTCTGAGAGAAATCAGCATGATTTTTAATTATTTGATAAGGCTTTAAAGGGCAAGAAATGTTACTGTAACCTAAAATAAAACCATGAAACCTCATACCTTTTAATTTTCTCCTCTTGCTTATTTGCATGCTGCTTGAGTAAGATGTGGTCATCATGTATATGAAGAAACCTGTCCTCCAGTTCTTCTCGAATTATTTTCTGTACAGCTTGTAGAGCTTTTACATTCTGTGAGGTTGATGATTCTACTCAAACAAAGACAACTTTAAATTACCTTCAATATATTCAACAACATGTTGAAAGCCTAAATCATTTTGAAATACTGAAACAAGAAACTTTTCAAGTACTTTTCACCTACATGAGTCTGTTGACTAACTTCTTCAGATTTATTGTCAGGTTAATCACTTCCTCTTACTGATTAAAAAAAGCAATTAAAATGATACAGCAAACTGTTTACCTATTAGACAGCATAAAGTTAACAGTTTAGCAAGTAACCAGGTTCTTTAAACCAGGTTCCTTAAAAAATAAACATCACCAAAGAGGTGCTTTCTAATCTGTTTCAAAGATACTATACTCTCTTGAAGCTTGAAAAGATTAACTCATAATTCCCCAAATTTACTCAGCCACAAGATTAAGCCCAGTTGTTCTATTCTAAGAGTGGCCGAGTAACATATCAGAATTGCATAATACTTTTAGTTCCCATTTCGTTAAATGGATCTGGCCTTGTCCTCAATTCAGCAAAAAAAGTCCTTTTTTTCTTCTGGAAGGATGAATGTTATAGCTCAATGACATTTCCAGTTTTTAGCATCTCACAGCAACTCCCCTCTTATAACAAGCAACTTGAACATAGAATGGGTCACAGCATCTTTCAGAATTTAACCCAGATTTTGAATGGTATTTGAACTTAATTTTGTGAGTGGCAACATCAGAAACATTTTTAGAAAGGAACTAAAGAAGCCACTGATCAAAGTCTGTAACTGTAATAAATAGCAGCTGGTACAAACCTTGTAATCCTTCAATTCCAGATGGAGTTAGACCCGGATCTCTCACAGGCAGGTCCCCCACAGTTTCATCAGCTGAAACAGGCATGGCTTATCTGCGGATAACAAAATTCAAATTAAATTCTTCTCCATCTGTTATTTAAACTGTGAGAGTAGAATGAACTACGATACATCATACAAAATTAAAGAAAAATTTATGGCAGATTGACTGAAATGACAGACTTGTACATTACTGTAAATGCTCCTATCTCAACTGGATTGCTCAGAGGACAACCTGAACTTTCAAGTTTAATTTTATGCCAATTTTAATCTACTCACAAAATCTGGCTATTTTGGATATGCAATAGTTTCATTTGTATTTAATGGAGGCAGAATTAGCTTTTTAAAGTTCTAGTCCTGCTGTCTTCAGCAATCTTTGGGCTAAGGCCACATTTTCAAGTGGATGTGGGAAGGGGACCTGTGGGGTTTTTTTTTGTTTGGTCGGGTTTTTTTTAATTGTTTGTTCATTTTAAGACAAGTCAAAGCTTGAGGCATCAGCTGGCAGATGAGTAATGCCATCTTCCACATTTTGAATGGGACTCTTTTAAAACAGAGGTGCTGGGGGTTATGAAGTCATTTCAATGTTGCCTGGCATTCTCTTAGTCTTCTTTCAATCACTGTCATAAGAGAAATTACTTGGTAAGATAGAGAGTTTCCTATGAATGATTCTCATAAATCCGAACATATTTCTTTCTTGAGGCAACAGAAAGCTTAGCTACATGACAAAGTGAGGTTAGGAAAGTATTAATGTGAGAAAGTACTACATTTGTTTTGGTGTAATATATGAACACACTTGTTAACAACTGCTGTTTCTTTCTTGTCTTCTGGTGCAGAAAATTATATGTTGGTCACAGAGGTAAGTAATGCTGAAATAGCAGGAAAAGGAGAGACTTTCCATGAAGTGTCTGTTAATTTTACCATAATCACAACTGCTGCTAAAGCTATGCCTTTCTTCTACCAGGAAAGTCTTCCATCATTAACAAGTCTCCTTATGGCTTTGTCCAACAGGAACAAAAAGAATTAATGGAAGTTGAGTTTCCCATAAGTAAGTCTTGCTTTGGTTTTTTCATCACTAAAATCTATAATAAAGTATTATTTCCAGCTTTCACTGTTTATAAAAACAGAAACACATTTTCCTTTCATGTGGAACAAACATTTCCTTGTCGTGACCATTGAAATGGACTATCTACACTTTTAGATTAGCAATAGGGTTACAGTTTCAATGCTCTCAGTCACAGAAACAGAGAATACTCTGATGCTGATGTCCAGGGCGTGCAGCCACTGCAGCCAGTGGCACCAGTGGCAAATATATCAACTGGAATCCAGCTGGTCAGTGTCCTCAGCTGTTTTTGTATTATTCTCGCAATTCTCTGAAAATTCTTTTGTTATTTGTTAAATTAGCTCTATCTGCAGTCACTGACTTCGCTCAGGTCCAGGTTCATTACTGGGGTCACCATTACATGTCACTGTATTGGTGTCACCACTGCAACTGGGATGAAAGAGAAGCAGAAATCTTTAACTCCAGATGATCATCCAAATTTGGTTCATGATGGTAGCAAGGAGCAGATGTTACCATCACGTCTTTCTAGAATGTGGTTGTCTTTGCTTTCACAAATCAAAAATTACAGGAGTTTTTCTGGCAAGTTTCAGAGATATCAAGAGCTAAATAAACATTTCATCAGCATGACTCCACAATGTTTGTAATCTATCAAAATGAGGCTTCACAAAATCTAGGACAATAACAGGCTCAGGCAAACATTACTGTTTTCACTATTTACTACTTGGTAAAGAAATTTTGCTATGGATATCTACCTGTTACCTTCAGTATGAAAGAAATCTGTTCATTTAAAAACAGGGACAAAACAACACATGCTTGTCCCTTAAATAAACAAACAAAAAACTCTTGTCAGTAGTAATTCATTACTGGCTACAGCAAAACCACATAAATACTAAAGTTGTAAACAAAGTAATGTAGCAGAGCTGCACACCAAGCCAGTTTTTACTGGCAACATGACATGACTTGAAGTGAGAAAATAAAGCTGCCATAAATCTAAAGTGTCCTGAAAACTTAGAAAGGTGAAATTTTCAAAGGTAAAAGGAAGAATTAATTGTTTAATTTCCATTACAAAGTGACATAAATTAAGTACTCAGCTTTTGTTTTCTATCCTGGGCCATAGGAAAAGAAAAAAAAAAACCAAACCATTATTCATTTTTATCAAAAGGAGTGCTTTTAGATAGAAATAGTACAAATCTCCCTCCTGGTTTTAGGGAGGTAAGATATAATTACAGATTTAGAATTTAGCCTGGCAATTTATTTGCCTGATTAGTAACATAAGAATACTTATGTCTTCAATAATCACTAAAAACTACCATTTATGCTCCTTCTTTGAGAGAGGACACTTCAAACAACAAAGCATGTGTTACATATGCTACAGTTCCTCTTTGAATATTATCTCAGTGTCAATCACAAACACTTAAACAAAATTACTTTTCCTTGCAGTCTAGTTCCAGCATTATTTCCAAAAGCATATGAGATTTGGCCACAGAGTTCAGTATTACTTTTGAAAGCATTTCCAGGCAATTATACATGACAAAACTGTACAGCAACACTGCTACAAAAGTGATGGTACTTAAGAGTCCAGCACTTCCTAAAATAAAGCATAGCAAAGCAAGAGAGGAATAAATTTGTATTTGCTTCTGGACAGATCCACATGCCACGATCAACCTCAAACACTTAAAATGGTTTTTATTTCTGAGAAAGATTACCCTACAGCTACTTCAGCATGTCTTGTTCCTCAAAAGTAAAAGAACTTCACCTACAAAGAGAGGAAAATTTTCTCTATCTCTGGGATTAACATACAAGAACTTCAAATTAAGTGTAAGTAAGAATTTTAGATACAATTACTGAAGTCAAAGAAATTGTAACTTTCTTAAACAGTGTGTCACTTACAAACCTGTTCTATCCGCAATTGTATCTGGCAATTTACCACAAAAAACTCCACACAACTTTGCTGTGTTATGCAAGGCCACACAGTAATGAGATGGATACTGAAAATTAAGTAGCAAAGCTCATACTTTAGGTTCAAATTGTCTCACAGAAGTATACTGTTGTCCCAGCATCATTCAACAGTAGCAAAACTGAGAAGGGATTACCTAAATTTTCAAAAATTCTCAGCCAGTGGGGATAGAAGGGACTTCTAGTAAAGGGATTTCTAGTGAAATATTAAAAATGATGACTTAATTGTTTCAATATGGTTTGTGAATTTCACAAGTGTCAGACATGCTTTTCTTACAAAAATCCTACTTCACTTTTCTGGTAGAGGAAAGATAAAAAAAAAGTGGATAGAGAGACCACCCACCTATTTTAGCCTATCACAAAGTATTTCCAGCCTATATTCTTGCTCTATTGAGTTCTTAAAAGATAAATATTTGCAGTCTATTGGCCTTGTCATCTAAAATAATGTAATTTATTATTTGGTAGGAGTATACACACATATCATCTTTATAACATCATCTGTTGCAGTGCTGTGAGTTTTGGGAGGTGGAGAGGAGAAAAAAAAAAAAAAGGAAGAGACGATACGGAAGATATTAGGAAACGGAATCACAACATCCTGCTGTCGTCTGGGGGAAGAAACATCTCTCAGACCTGCAAGTCCTACTGGAACAGGGAGAAATCAAAACAACCGTGTCTCGCCTTCAACGTACTTCACAAGTGCTTTCCAAATTTTGGTTCTGGCAGCGACTGGCAGGGCTGGGAGGGGCAGGGTCCCAGGGAAGGCAGGAACGCCCCCGCTGCCCGGGATTTCCTCGGGCACAGGAGCACACCAGCAGCCTTTGCAGGTGCAAAACAGGGGCCTGTAGGGCTACTTTTAATCCAGCGCTAAGGCTCCCCTGCCTTCCCCTGCGGGCACCGAGCTGCGAGGGACCCGCCGGCCCCGCTCCGCAGCTCCTCGGCCGGGAGGCCTCAGGACACGGTCCCGCAGCCCTGGGCGGCTCCAGCGCCGCCGTGCTATCCCCGCCGTGCCCGGCGGAGGAGAAGCTCCCCCCGTACTCACAGCCCCGCCAGCCCCTCCGCTCCTCTCCGCGCTCCGCTGGCAACTCCCGCTGTCGCCCCGCAGCCCCTTCCCGTTCCGGGCCGCGCTGCTGCTGCCGGGACTTGGAGTCCGGGGCGGGGCCGGGCAGTGCCCGCGGAGCCCAGCGAGGTTCCCGCCGGCAGCTGCGGTGCCCGGCACGCTGCTCTGCCCCGGGCGGGCGGGCGGCTGAGGCGGCACCATGAAGAGGAGAGCAGGGGAGCGGGAGAAAGAGCTGAAGGTACCTTCCGTTTGCTTCCCGCTCCCCGCAGCCCCGCGGAGCGTGCCCGCGGCCAGCCCTGTCCCCGCCGCTGGAGGGGCTGCTCGGGGCACAGCCCGCCGGCAGCTCCAGCGCCTGAGCCCCGAGCGGGGGCACTGCGAGGCCGCCGGGAAGTCCGTAGTGAGAAGGAAGCGGCCCCGGCGCCGAGCTCCGTGCGGCGGTCGCAGAGCCCGGGGCGCGGCCCCGTGTGCTCGGCACCGCCCCGGGGCCCCCGCGGGGAGCGCGGCCGGGGCTGCCCGGGCAGGGCGGCGCTGCCTCACCTGGCTGTCCTGGATCCCCCCCTGCCCCGAGACAGGGGGCACCTGGGTCAGGTTCAGCAGTAGCTAGTGGTGAAAGGCTCGTGCCATCCGGGCAAGGTATTTGAATTTTAAAGAGAGTCCTGGGGTTTCTGAACAAGAAAAAAATTTTATACAAGTGAAAGAGTTTGCTTTTGTCGAAAAAGCTCACAGTGAGGTGATGCACTATGTAGCCGCGCTTTTATTTTTAAATTTGAAAGTACTCTACACCAAGCCTGACCTAAATAAACATTTTTAAGTCTGGTCTACCACCCGAGCTTTATAATGTTTGTTTTCTTGTCCATGTGTTTAGACACAGTGTTATGTGCTTACATTGAAGATGTTATTACACTGTTTGTGAAAGCAAACAGCAGTGCTGAATGTTTTTCTGTTTCACGTGCCTACGAAGGGCTTGTTTTACCACATTGTACAATATTTGACTGCAGCTCTTGATGGTTGTTGTATCTTTCCTGATTTTGTTTACAAAACAGTAGTCCTGAGAAACAGAAAGTGATTAAAAGCACAATGCTGGTATTAGTGATGTTAATGGTTACTTCCATTATAAATTGAAGGTTAATTCCATTATAAACTTAGATTTAGAAAGAGCTTTCAAAAATGGTAATTACATACACCTGAACAGAGAGCGTGCTGGCTTTATTATTGCTATTCATTGACTATTCAGCATTAAATGTTATTTCATTTTAGGGGCAGGGAACAGGTCTGATCCAACTTTGCAACTATTTTAATATAAAACTTTAGAGCCCGTTTGCAGTAATAAGATTCCCTACAACTATTTAAGGACTATCTGGTCATTTTGTAATTAATCTTTCTACCAAGTTGCTGAAGGACAGCAGCTACAGACTTACCTTTGTATTCTGCCCTTTCCATAGATGTCAAAACATATGCAGATATTCCATCCAATCCAATGTAAATATATTGGAGAAAAAACCTCAACCCATACTTATTTTAGCCTGTACATTTGTGCTGTCCATCCGAGGGCCTCTGTCTTTTCAATAGGTCTCAAATGTATTTGGGAATGGTTTGCACTGGGAGAATAATTGACCTTGATGTGATAAGGATAAAGATTCAAGGATATGTGGAGGGAGTAGGAGGATGGTGCTGTGAACTAAAGTGTCAAAGGTGGTATGAGGACAAGGCACCTAAAGGGGTGTCAGGAACACTGTATGATAAAAACTCTGCTAGAGTGAAAGAGTCCTGCCATAGACAAGTGTAAGATGTTACAGGTGCACAGACAAGAAAAGGATGAAAATTAACAAGAGATTCCTACATAGAATTTAAAGGTGTCAATTCTTACAGGATGCCTTGAGAGGACGTTGTAAGTTGGGTACTACTTGGGAGGAGCTTTGAGTATAGTGAAAGTGAAACAAAATGGACCCGTAGAACATTTTAAAATAAAGGCTGCCAAAGGGGAAAGCAGCAATGGGAAGAGGGGGAGTTGTATGTACAGGAAGGAATGTATGCTTTTTTTTTTCATGGTAGCATAGTGACTTTACTGTAGTAGTTCTGCCAAGACTTCCATTTAGGTACTGATTAAAATATTTTGTAGCAAACCAAATATTAGTGAGGTTAACCCAACCTCTTCTGGAGAGTAAGATTTATGAGGCCTACTAATGAGAGGGAAGTGGTTGGATAGAGAAGCTGGTTTGGATTATGTATCTCCTGGCAATGTCTCTTGTTTTCCAGAATTAAATCCTAAATAAAAGCTCTTGTTTTGCTATAATTGTGTAAAGTTAAATGCTGTCTATCAGAATCCTAGTGATTGGCGTTTGCTTTGTAATTATACAGTTTGCTTCTTATATATGATAAGCTGTTCTCTCTCAGATTTTAATGTGTATAGCAAGTTTTGATTTATGTTGTTATAGAAGAACATTTCTGTTCCAGGTACATGTGGTAGAAGTTCTTTAGAGTGCAGCGCTGCCATACAACAATTTCCACTTTGCAGATCGCTCAGTTGGGTTAAGGTTAAATGTGTAGCAGAAATGAAATTGTTTATGCTAGTATTTGGTGTCCAAAATCCTCCCAAGTGGGTGAGAATGTAAATTCATTCTTGGGAAGAGGGTCTGAAAAAACTGGGAAACCATAACTAGCAGTTAATCATTCATCTGTCCTAAACACCATGTTGGGGATGCAAATGTCCTGTATAATATTTCTCTGAGTCTTAAGTAGACAACAAAACACAATTACTCTGAAGTTTCTAAAGACACCTTTAGAGCTGTTGCATGCCATCAGCTTCTCTGGTCTTCCCCGTAGCAAATATTACTTCAGTGCATAAAACCAGAGCTGTTAGAGTTGCTCATTAGCTGGAAAGGCATTTTTATGAAATAGTCCATTAGGGTTTGTTCATGGTTGTTGTTTTAAATTAAATTCAGTTTTAATTAATACAGTTTATAGTTCTTTTTTTCTTTTTTTTCTTTTCACTGTTGGTCAGAGTTGGTCACTTTTTTACTGGATGTAGAAAAGGCACCACACAAACTAAGACCAAACATAAACCTCCCATTTAGTAATTTAGGTAGACTACTTTCTCCTTTAGACTTGGAAAGAAAGCTGTTTTGCTTTTAGAATGTTTATTACCTTGATTTTTATTCACAGGTGAGTTAAAAAAGTTAATCTTTAACGTAAGACTGTTCTCAAGAGTTACTTAGCCAAAGTGGGTTTTCTAAAGCAAGTTTCAGTGTGACAAAGGCCGAGCTCTACTGACTTCCTGTGTGTGTGCTTCCTTTTGCCACTTTTTGCATATTAAGACCCTGAGTCGTTGCCATTTGAAAGAGAAGATACTCGATTATTCTGGAGTATCATTTTCTGCCAAAGTAAAAATATTACCTTGATGGGTCTTTGGAACAGGCCACTAAGCCCAGTTCACAATTACCTTATGTAACTGTTTATGCTAATTCACAGTGGAACCAGAACCGACTGCAGAGAATGTATTTCACAGACATTACTGTTATGTTTGTACAGCTCCCAACACAGCTGGGACCCCAATCCAATAACGTTATTGCTGTACAAATAATAAATGCATCAATATGCACATATCTGAATATTCACAAGGGCTTTTACAAAGTTATTCATGTGCAGTTTCACATTTGTGAGACATGTTAGACAAAGTGGCGAGGAAATATAAAGCATTAAATAACACAAAACTTTGTATGTATTTTATTTACAAGGGCGAAAAGGGAATATACAATGTTTTGGCTGAGATTTCAAGGAAAGTATTATATCCTGCATAATTCTAATTTTGCTGTCTGAAAAATAATATATATGTTTACCAGAAAAAATAGGTTGCTTCAACATATTATGCTCAGGGAAAATTAGGCAAGTATTTTCAGAGTGTGATGAAGGGAATGGTTTTGGGATTAATGCTGAAAAATGTCACCAGTACCATACAATGAAGTAGGTAAACTTTAACATTCTCTTATAATAGCTTGTTCAAATATTATGTTGATTTCTTGTTTTGTTTTGTCATTCTACCTCTTAAAAAGACCCCAAAAAATAATAATTCTAATTGATAGATTAAATAGGTTCTTTTAGAAGTTGTATTTAGCAAAATTAAAGTTAATGGAACATCTTAGATACAGTTAAATAAGCTTCTTGTCATGTCATATTTCTACTTAGGTAAATGGTGTGCAGGTTTTAGCAGAATCAGCAGCCAATATGCCGGTAGCAATTTTTGTGGTAATCACATTATTGGCCCTTCCCATTATTAATGAGACAATAATTAAGAAATAGTGTTGATAGTCACATAACACATGATTTGTATATTGGAAATGGTCAGGTAGAAGCCTTGCATATGCAGAATAAAATACAAGAAGAAATGAGTGGCAAATGTTTCTTGCTTTTAAATTCATCACATTCCTGCTGTTTAAATTGCCTCAGCTGCTAATGCTGGAACCATTACAGTAATGGACTCGGCAAATGAAGGAGAACCAAGACATACACACTTTATTACTGGAGGGGTAATTTTCTCTTCATCTGTAATAGCAGCAGTGCCTAGTATTGATCAGACCATCAAGATACTAATCCTCTGTAAAATTACTTGTTATAACTGAAAATACGTTAATCCAAATCAGTCTGTGTCCTGACTTTCTACTTACTATTGAATACAGGCTATTAGATGGTTTATTTTTTGTGATTTAAAGCCTTTACATTGATAATAGTGAAGCTTCTTTTGCAAGAGCGCGTGCTTAATCTTAGCTATGGCCCAGGGTTGTCTTTTAGTTTTAACTGGAACATCACCCACTTAATTAAGAAGTGCATGTCTATCTTTCTGCTTGGAATTATATTGGTACTTTAGGCTCTGCAGATTTATTAAACATGTTGTTTTACGTTCAGTCACTTGTTTTTGCTGTAAATAAGAACAGATCCGTGCTTCACATACTAGAATCTTCAAAGATCTTGGAGCTAAGGAAGTGAGGAGAATGGCTAGTCAAAGCAGTAATTCATGTTTTGCGGATTGTGGCCTGTGAGGGTATTGTGTAAGAGAGTAATATAGAAGATGTCCAATGCCAGGGGTCTGAAGGTCTTCTGTTTATTTTGATCTTAGTGATCCACCACATCAGAGTGGTGTGGAGAGCTGTGTGTGTTCTGTGTATGAATATGGAATGGCTCCTTTTCCTCATGGCTCTTACTTGTATAGCCTCCAGTCAAATAAAATTTTGGCTGGGTTACATC